ACATGCTACTTGCTAAGAGACTAAATGAATGAGATTTCGACCTTCAAATTGTTTTGTCAAATAATGAAGGAGTTTATAGTAGAGAAAAGGAAGAAAACAGAATTGGAGAATAGGGTGGTGTGGAATGAAAACAAAACCAAAATAGATGAAAGGAAAAAGTAGCCATTTCACAATAAAACACACACAAATCAATTGCATGTTACTGATTATACATTTAAATTGCAATATCTCTTTACAAAAAAGTTGCCATCCTCAAATTTCTAGACAAGATAATTTTTTGTTGTCTCCTTTTACATCAAACAATAATTTAAAAGCATGCAGAAAAAACTGCTATATTACATCAAACAACAATTAAAATTTAAAAAGCGTCTAGAAAGAAAATGTCAAATTCACCTCTGGATCGATATGCTTCAGATTACATAAAGATTTGCTTACGGAATAGTCTCCTATCCACAAGTTACAGTGAAAACCTTGACCAACAGAGTAACTGGGACGATGCAGGACAAAAAATGAGGATGCTGCAAAAACAAATAAAATTAATTAGTACATTAATTATAGAAGAAAACTCATTTTCCCTTATCAATGCCCATTCCATTCAAATTGAATAGCCACAAAGAAGATTAGAGAAGGTAACCTTTTGTATAATTAAAATGATTTAATGTGAGCTATGAATATATTTATTAAGAGTAGAAGTTACGAAGATGAAGAGATACAAGTTATGGAAAAAAATGAATAAAAAATGTAAAATAAATGAGATGGCTTTTGGTCTTATCATATATTACATAAATAATTACTGTATTATTTTTAAAAAGTAAAAACCATAAAAGTTGAGGAAAGATAAGAGGAGACTTTTCAGATTTTTAGATACCGCTAAAAAACGGTGATGTGTAATTAATGTATACAATAAATAAATTAAATTAAATTAATCAATAAGAAAGAGGAAAATTAGAAAAATAAAGGAAAAAATTCAAAAAAAATGATAAATATCTTTCCTGGCCTATGAAGCATGCCACATCACTATTCTAACATCAAGCTTTATATTATATATAGATTATAATAATATATTTTTCCTTTAAATATATTAATATATATAAAACCATTTTAACATTTAATTTTTCCAAAAAATCATTGTATATCATGAAGAAAATCAACTTTTTGACGATAGTTTGACAATATGGAAGGTATAACCTTACCACTTTGAATTACTCCCTCTGTCCACAATTGTTTGTCAAGGTAAGGTCATGCACACCCCTCAAGGAAAATTTAATACAAGGTGTAATTTGACTAATATAACCTTACTATACCAAGAATACTAAAAGTCCACATAACTTTTCAATTGAACTACACTATCATTAAGGGCAGAATTGAAAAAAAATGACTAATTATTTCTTGATTATTTAAATTGACAATTAATTTTGGACATCTATTTTTAGTATACCTGCCAAACAATTGTGGACGGAGGGAGTAGTAAACAATACATAACCATTTTCAAAGTTGGTATTAATTTGATATATTTAAATTGAAATATTACACTACTTCTGTATTAAAAGGTAATTATATACCATTAAATGCCCCATAGTAAAATTTGGGAAAATTAGCAATTAAGTCATAATACCTAACATAATTAGTTAAAATAACAACACTTTAAAATATTTATTTAAAATGACAGAATGACAATATTTTTATAAAATAATATGTATTCAGATTTTAGTATTTAAAATTAATTTTATTTATGGAAAGAGTTCTATATTGTGCCAAATTATATACCAATAACAGTTTAAAAAGAAAAAATAAATTAAACCAATACCCATTAACTTTCTTCCTCACCTTTCACGTTTCTTCCCCACCTTTCACGTTTCTTCCCCTCCTTCCACGTTTCAAGATTATCTTTCTTCAAGGTGCTCAATTATTGTTCATCAAGAAATTTTTCTCTATTGTTAAAACGATATCTCTTTATTAATTCAAGCAGATTTCTCGATTGGCAAGGTAATTTCCATTATCTATTTTGATTTATTTTGATTTGATGTTTAAATCACCGATTCTATATATTACGAATTTACAGGAGAATTTTCCAATTTTTATGTGATTTTGTTTAGATATTCATCAAATAGTTATGATATTCTACATATTACAGAGTTATTGCTCTGTGTATTTGTGGCTACTTGCTACTAGTGACCCGTGAATATTTTACATGAGTTGAGAGAGAACTTGAGGCATAAGTTCTTATAATATATATTTCAAACGTAGCTTTGGGCTTCCATAATAGTCTATATGGACCTATTATATTAATTGGGTTGTAACAGTTTTTTGGATGAATTGTACATTTCATCAAACATGTTGAGATATAAGAGTGGGAATTACGGCAAGAGAATACAACATGACTCACAAAAAAGTTTTACTTTATTCGGGAAAAAAGAGTTTGAATTACAACTTGTGTTATGGAGAATATAGCTGAAAAAAATAGTTTAAATTAAGTAGCTTATTGGGCTGACTGTATTCATTCTATCTATCTATCAAAAAGTTTCACATTTTTTGTTTTTACATTGTATTTCAATCTCAATTAGTATACCAACATGTTTGTATTTCCTTCTTAATTTGTATTCATTCTAACTGTATGCTCACAATTTTTATTTTATTTGGGTATTCATTCTAATCTCAATTTATATGTGAACAAGTTTGTATTTCTCTTTTGTTTTGTATTCAACCTAATTGTATACCAACAAGTTTTGTATTTTATGTGCCTACTTTACCTTTCAAAGTCACTTTGTATTTCAAATGAAAAGAGTATTTCTTTTGTATTCACAACTGTATATTCAATCTCACTTTGTATTTTTATCTCACTTTTGTATTCATATATTGTTGTATTCAACATATAGTTCATGATCAATTAGTTTGTATTTTACCTTTCAAAGTCACTTTGTATTTCAAATGAAGAAAGTATTTCTTTTGTATTCATTTGTATTTTACCTTTCAAAGTCACTTTGTATTTCAAATGAAGAGAGTATTTCTTTTGTATTCACAACTGTATATTCAATCTCACTTTGTATTTTTATCTCACTTTTGTATTCATATATTGTTGTATTCAACATATAGTTCATGATCGATTAGTTACATTAACTTAATGGGATACAAATTATTGTATGCATTCAAATAGTAAAAATAGCTACTAAACTAAAAAAAAAAAAATCATTCGTTATACATCATAATTTGGATACAAAATGTCCGAAAAAAACTCTAAATCCCAATACATACAAAGATTTCACTGATTCAATAAAAAAAAAATTTCTTGTACTCGACATATACGAATATACCTGATTGTTTTTCGATTGTTCACTGGATGCGACAAATTTATAGTCGTCAATTTTAAAAATTTCTGTTTCAAAAATATGCCATATTCGACTTGAAGAAGCTTTGAAAGTTATCAGATGAATGATTTGAAAGACAAACTAAATTATTATTATGATTATTATTATTTTATCTTCTTAAGAAGAAAGCAAAAAAACGCTCGACAAAAAAATGACTATTTATGCTCTTTTCAAAACGTAACTAATTTGTATTTAAAATCTTTTTAACCTTTTTTGAATTTTTTTGTTCCATGATTTTCTTTATTCTGTTATTAATTATTTGTATTCTTTCAAATTAATCAAAATAAAATAAATACATAACTAATCCCTTAACAAACTAAAATAATGACATTTTTAATAAATAATGAAAATGTTGCTAAGGAGTCCCACTTAAAGCTAAAATATTGTTGTTTTGAAAATTTTCCCTAGTAATTTTTAGGTAATTGTGTTTTTTACAAAATTATACCATATGTTAATTTAACAATATGACTCATATATGGCAATAAATATCACAAATTTATACTGTATTTTTTACCAACATTCAACCACTTAATATACAAATATTTGAACCAACAATAATTATTATAATATACTCCCTCCGTCCCATTTTATGTGACACCATTTCCTTTTTGGTCAGTCCCAAAAAGAATGTCACATTTTCTTTTATGGTAAGTATTTAAAGGTATAATTCCTTTTTTACCCTTATTGGTCCCACTTAATCTTAAAATAATACTCCAATACATTTATGAGAAGAGAGAAAAGTGAGTCTACTTTTTAAAGGGCAATTTGGTAAACATTTCAAAGTCTTCATTTATTTCTTAAACTCCGTGTTCGAGCAAATATTGCCACATAAAATGGAACGGAGGGAGTATACCTTTTAACATCTAATTTTTTTCCCCCAAAAAAACATTTTATACCATGAAGTAAACTAACTTTTGACAATGGGTAAACTAATGTTTCAACACTAGAGCAAATACCATCCACAAATAATAAAATCTTTAATACCATTAAATAGTCAATTGCACGCAAGAAAAAAAATATTGTTTTAAATAAAAATTAAAAAAATCCAACAATGTTAACTAATATTTGAGATATTTGTGGATGGTAAATAACAATGGGGAGGAAATTAAGGAACTAGAATATCACTAAAGATTGAATAGTATGTTTTCCTTTTTTTTTTTCTTTTTTTTTTTTACACCCTTCCTAGGAGCTCCCACCCCTTTTTGCTCTCTTGGTGACTCGAACTCACAACCTTTGGGTTGGAAGTGAGGGATGCTTACCATCCGAGCAACTCCCCCTCGTCATTTTCCTTTTTTTTATTTTCCATTTTTAATTTTTTTTTTGTTTTAAAAATTCTATTGATATGTTGGTGAAAAATAAAACTACTGTTATATAATGGTTATTTAGATAATTATTTTGTATAGTTGGGTTTTTTACCCAACAAAAATAATTAAAAGTGTCTAGAGAAAATCTTTTCATAAATAAAACTCTCTAAATGACTACATTGTAGATATTATTGTGTTCTTGATATGAGAAGAAGAGTTTTTAATTTATAGAGTTTCAAATTTTTCCTCTAAGGAAAGAATAAACCAAATATGGAAGAGAATCATATTTTTCTTTCAGAAAATAATAAACCATTTATGGTAATACCTTGATTTTCTTTCAAGGAAAAATTAAAACTCAAATAAGGTAAGAAAATCAGAGCAAAATCCTAACATGTTGCAAGATCGGGGGTGTATTTAAGTTCAGTTAGTCCAGTAAAGATGTGTTGTTAAAGCTGTCAATAGTTCGGGGATGAAACTAATAATTTTCGCCGAGTTTAGTGGTATTTACCTTAGTTGCATGGACTCTTCACTTTTGATGCCGCACCCGTGTCAGATTCACCAAAAATACACTACTTTTGGCGAATTCGACACACACCGTTGACATTTTTGAAGAGTCCAAGCAACATACGTATTTACAATACTTGTTAGCTAAATATTTATACAAGTGTTAGTTTTTGCGAATTTGGTCCTTGAACTATCCGATATTCGCTGAACTATTACCAACTATCGTCAAGTATCTGTTATCTTCAATTAACACTGATATCGGACAACTCTATCTACTAAACTTAGTTTGTCTTTGTTGATGTTTGAATCTTGTTTTTTCATAGTTTTAAGTTCATTGACTAATATTATATACGGTCGGACGTAAATAATACAATTTCGACAAACCTCAATAGCTAAAAATTCAGAAATCATAAACTTAAAATCTCAAATCCGTCTCAATCACTTAAGTGCCAAACCAATTCTATGTACATAAATGTCCTTTAGATATTCTATTTTTAGTCATATTTGAAATTTCTAACTACTATATATACTCAAACAATTACTGTACTAATTGATGTTAGGGGCTGCTAATTAAGAAAATTCAATGTCATTTTGATCAAGGAACTTAAGGATATTTTGTAGACTTTTCAAACTTTAGTGAAATAAGTCCAAAAATGTATCTCTTAGGTGTATGTTCTAGATCATATAATTCAATTTGTTTTTTTTTTTTTTTCCATAGATTGATTTGACTTGACAATAGAATTTCTTTTTCTATATAAAGGGTATGTTTTTCTAGTTTCACTTAGCCATAGTTAGATTTATTTTTTCTTCCCAAATGGCTAGCAAACTATCAAATTTCAATTTTTTCACTTTGATTCTCTATGGTGTACTTACATTAGCTACCCCAGATTTTACAGGTATATCTCTCTCTTTCTTCTTAGACACAAAATATTAGTATGTGACATGGACTCAAGCATGAGTATTGTATACATGAAGGTACTAGACTCGAGTTTTGAACGAAGTGCTCGTTCTCTTGTCCTCTGTGGCTAACATAGGCATAATGAGATTAATGAAGGATCCGAGTAACATAGCTTGACGAGCTATAGGTAGAACTAATGTTATGTTTTGTGTGATGCAGGTGCTCAAACTGGAGTTTGTTATGGAAAGCTAGGGAATGGATTACCATCTCCAGCAGATGTTGTGTCACTATGCAATCGAAACAATATTCGAAGAATGAGAATATACGAACCTGACCAGCTGACCCTTCAGGCGCTCCGAGGCTCCAACATTGAGGTCACGCTAGGTGTCCCGAACACGGATCTTGAAAACGTTGCTGCTACCCAAGACAATGCAAATACATGGATCCAAAACAATGTTAAGAACTATGATAATGTCAAGTTCAGGTATATAGCTGTTGGAAATGAAGTTAGTCCCTTCAATGAAAACTCTAAGTATGTACCTGTTCTTTTCAATGCCATAAGGAACATTCAAACCGCAATATCTGGAGCCGGTCTCGGAAACCAGATCAAAGTTTCCACAGCTATTGAAACTGGACTTACTACAGATACTTCTCCTCCATCAAATGGAAGATTCAAAGATGATGTTCTACGATTCATCGAACCTATAATCAACTTCCTTGTGACGAATCGTGTTCCTTTGCTTGTCAACCTTTATCCTTACTTCTCAGTAGTTGACAATCCAGTCATTAAGCTTGAGTATGCCCTTTTCACATCACCTGAAGTTGTTGTCAATGATAATGGAAGAGGATATAAGAACCTTTTTGATGCCATCTTAGATGCTACATACTCGGCCCTTGAAAAAGCTGGTGGCTCGTCTTTGCAGATCGTTGTATCAGAGAGTGGTTGGCCTTCAGCTGGAGCAGGGCAGTTAACTTCCATTGACAATGCCAGGACTTATAACAACAATCTGATTCAGCATGTGAAGGGAGGGAGTCCTAAAAGGCCTTCCGGTCCAATAGAGACCTACATTTTCGATCTGTTAGATGAAGATCAAAAGAACCCTGAAATCGAGAAGCATTTCGGACTATATTCAGCAAACATGCAACCTAAGTACCAGATCAGTTTTAACTAGTTAAAAAGCAAGAGGAGAGCATTAAAAGGAATAAGGGACCTACCTTTGTATGTATGTTAATTCTGAATAACAGTTCCAGCTTCAAGAGAAAGTAGCCTATAGGCATTATGTACTGAAATCATCATATGCTAATAAAGAAAGCAATATATTACAATAATGAAACACCTTTTATTTGAACCATTGATTTTATCAGCAGTAACCATGTGTATCATTTAAGGCCAGGGTTCCGAGCCGTGGAATGCTTGCTTCAAAGTAGGGTTCCTACGTCACACCCCCTTTGGTGTAGCCTTTCCCGGACCCTGTGTGAACACGGGATGCTTCATGCACCAAGCTGCCTTATATTCACAGGATCCTTTGTTTTGCTTTTGGTTGGTTCAAATTCCATTGTTACAAACAGGAAAGGAAAACTTAAACTAGCTTGTAAGATTATTCTTCAAAGAAACTTAGTTGAATAGAGGAAATACCTTGGCTTGAACGATGAATCGAGAGAAAGGACGTTGCAATGTAGCAAGCAAGAACCAGAGGAAATTCATTTGCAAAATTGGAAGTAGAAATGTTTACAGCAGTCAACCATCAAACAAAACCAACCATCACTGCCTTTAACAGACTCAAACTCTCTGAAGCATACAAAATTAGGCAAAAACAAACAAGAAAGAAGAGACTTTGAACTATTTACATGTTTATGTGAAGTCTATAAGAGTATAAAACCAGAAAACAAGAAACAAAAACACTTCTTTTCCTCAATCCATTTGTATAAATTACACAAGTGGCTCTATATGCAGATTATAGCTTCTTCTTGATTGAAGTTTCCGTTTTGCCTTGCTGGAAATATCGAGCAACTGAGCAAGCAATGCATGATAAGCTTTTCAATCTCGGCAAAACCCTTTTATATTTATAGAAATGTTTGCTGAGAGATTTCACTCTTTTTGGTACTTTTGTTCACTTCACCATTATATGAAGTCCAAGAAGTATGGTTGAGCATGAAGGGAGAATGTTGAACTGAATATGTTTCGTTTAACATTAGTCGTTGCTTTGGTGTGCTCATCGATCTCGTCTTTGCTTTTGCAGATTCTGTAGCAGCCATGTAAGTAGGAAACATGGGAGAACTTGGTAAAGAGCTATCATCACCAATTGATTTCTGTTTCACATGAGAAAATGATCTCCTTGGTAGCGATGACGGAGAATTAAAATCCTCTGTGACATCTAGTTTACGCGTTTGTCTCATTTGGTTCATGCCAACTAGAGGACTACTTGAGTTTGCAAATGACCTCAATTGCTCAAATAGCTCTGCTTTCCTCTGTGCTTCCATTTCTTCCCATTGATCGAACCTGGAACTTCTTCGATTTTCCTTAATGATTAACGGATCTTGCATAACATGATCATTTCTCCGCTCCTAAAAACCATTTTGAGTTATTCAACCATAAAACATGACATATTACTCGTTTGTCTGGTTTTGACTTGACACGGAATTTAAGAAAGTAAAGAAGACTTTCAAATTTTGTGGTGTTAAACATGTCATGTGGAAAGTTGAAATTTTAATAAAAGGAAAGAGATGTTCTTTTTGAAACGGACTAAAAAGGAAAGTAAGACAAAAAATTTGAAACGGAGGGAGTAGTAAGTATCATTAAAAGAGAACTATGAAATTCTCAATGCAAGTGAAGTTACCCGATGTGAAAACGAGTATTTCATCATACGCTCTCTTTTGGCAAAGGCTTCTCGTCTTCTTAAAAACAAGGAGTCAATTTCTTCCTTTGAAGCCAAACTGAAATCCCAAGTCCTTTGGCTGTTGCATTTTAGCTGCCGATAAGCAAAACAATGTTCGACAGACTTCATCATTAGAGTAAAACAAATACAAATTTAAGTTCAATCAGAGGCTCAAACAATGATAAATATTGTGTGTTATTAATTCTCTTACTTTGAATTCATTAGATTTCACACTTTCCTTCGAGCTATCATCAAGTTTCTTTTCGATACTCTCGTAGTATTCTTCCACAGTAGGAACTCTGATATGATAAACTCTTGGCTTTGGCATTTGAAAGGGCAACATAAACTTCAATTTGGCAACTAATCTTCGTCTAACAAGTTCTCCTCGAATCACTGCTTGAAGCTTCACGAGTCCCTTCAGGGCACTTAGTGCTTTCCTTGCCTACAGAAAATCCCAGAGAGACACATTATAATTGGACATAAGGGCATTTCGACAACGAAGTGGAAAATTTTGTAATAATGCAAAGGAGAATAACAAGATTGACATGAAAGAGTTGTTTTTGTTCTCTTTTCGTAACATTGATAAATATTGAACTTCAGTTCTTATAATATTCATCATTAGTGGAAACTAAAGCAAAGGCTGCAATTTCTTTACTGATAATCCCTTTAAGTTTCATGATGATTTACTAATTAAAATATAACATAAAGCAATCAAATACACATCATATATCCCTAACAAGCCTAATCGTTTTTTTCTCGGAGAAGCACGTGGCAATTCTTTTTTAAGGTGATACCATGTTGAATGTTTCATCTAAAATCTTAAGTTGTATAAGAGAGAATACTTTTATTTACTCACAAGGTGTGCACGATAAGCGGTTTGGATTCTGATGGCAGCATTTCTCCGCTTCCTCTCTAGCTCATACGGAGCGATAGTGAGGCGTACAACTTCGGCTGCAGCATTGGCAGCAGCTACAGCAGCCTCAGCTGCAGCTGCTGTTGCTAAAGCAACAGCCACAGCAAGTTTCTTCTGTTGTTCTGTTGCCTCAGTTAGTGTTTTTTGAGGTGCTTCAATTGCTGGAGGACACTGCTTGAACTTGAACCTTCCTAAAAACCATTTCCATCTCTTTGGTTTCTGAAAATTAAAAAAATTCAACATTCATGTTCTCAACAGATAAGGGAAGCCTGATGCACGAAGTATCCTGGAGTTCACGCATAGTCCAGATAAGGGGCGCACCCCACGAGGGTGTAATGTAAGTAGCCAGTAGCCTATGCTGACGTGCAAGCATCAACGGCTGATTCCACGGCTCGAACTCGTGACCTATATTTCCACATTCATGTTATAAATCACACGAAGGGGAGCCTTGGAGCAACGGTAAAGTTGTCTCCATGTGACCTACAGGTTACAGGTTCAAATCATATATAGAATTAGCCACTATTGTTTGCGTCAGGGTAGACTGTCTAACTCACACTACCTTATGGTGCATCCCTTCCCTGGATCCTGCGTGAACACGGGATGCTTCGTACTGCCGTTTATTTCATATTAATTATAGAATCATATCAACCAATTCTCAATAGAAGAAAGGGAATCAAGATTTCAAGAAAAATAATCAAACCTTTTCAGCTTTTGGTTTTGCCTCAGGAATGAAAAGTAGTCTTTTCACAAATATAAACCAGCTTCTTCTCTTTCCCATTTTATGAATTCAGCAAACTGATTCATCAAAACAATAACATGCCATCACCTTCTTTGTGAAAAATCACCTTATTCTTGATAAGAGAAAAAAATAATCTCCTTGAGTTTGCAAGTTCTATTTTATTTTATCAATAAACAAAGAAGTTCCAAGATAATTTACATTTAGAAAACAGGGAAAAAAAACAAAGAATAATGAAACATGACATGCACAACTTTTCACATCACCAAACAGAGAGGGAAAAAAACACAAGAAATTCAATTTCATTCTCTTGCATAATCATGAGCAACAAGACATTCTTGTGATCAACAAGGTTTGTGGGGTTGTGGTGGAGTGTAAGGATACCTTTCTCTTTAATAAGAGGTCTCGAAATTCGAGCCTGAATATATATGGAGTCGCATTTGTTAGACAACACTTTACTTCTAAGGTTGGAATTTAGTTGAGCTACAATGTCCATGACAAAATTCAGGAATTGAAGTTTATAAGTACGAGATTCTAGTACTTCGGAATTAATAATTGTACATAGTAAATGAATTTAGAAAGACAAATATATGATTTGAACTATAATGTGGATACCAGACACAAGGCATAGGAAGCAAAAAAAAAAAAGACATTATTATTGTAATATATATCAAACCATTCATGAGACTAATCAAGAACTTGAAATCTTAATGGAGCAATTTTCATAATTTTTCCAATTAAAACAAGGTAATTATGAGAAACAAAATTAGGATACATACCTAGAGTAGGTGAAAGAAAGATGATTAAATTAAAACACCAAATTTGAAGGACATGTTGAAGATTTGGAAAAATCCAAGTGTGTCTTATGAAGTGATTCTTGAATTATGATGTTTTTGTTGTTCCATGTGGCTACATATTTAAGATACATGTATATATATATCCAAGAGTAAAATGTCCTTTACTAATTATGTTTTGAGAAGCATACCATGTGCTTATGTAGAATAAAAAATTAAAAGGAAAAAAAGAAAAATAATAATAATTGATTTTTCAATTATGTAGACTTTTGCTAGTACTTGAATTGTGACTTTTAGCAAGTCCCTTCAATAAGGGTCCTCTTTTTTCTTTTCTATTTTCCTTGTATTGACTCTCCTTTTCTTTGTGTCGTGTTTCTAATTTGTTTCGCACGAAAAACATTTTATATTAAAATTGTTATCTTTTTACATATTCAAGACTCAAATCTGAAAATTCTAAATAAGAAGGAAGGAATTACATCCATCGCGCTGCGATATTTGGCTTCTTCCTTACATCTTTCTTTGCTTTATGTTATTTTGTTAACTACTTACTAACTATTTCAAACAGAGCGGAGCCAGGATTTCATGTCCATGGATTCTAAATTTTTAAAAAGAAACAACGATCTTAATCTAAAGTAACAATCATCAAATTAACAAACAAATACAAGTATTTAACTCACTAAAAACGAACAAGGAAACAAATAAAAATGGAGAAACAAGAGTACACACTGGAGGCCAGATGTTGGATAACAGCAATTAGAACAACAATAAAAGTTAGAACCCGAACTTTTGGAGAAAAAAATTGAGTTAAACTTTTTGAATGTGAGTAGAAATCAATAGTCAGATATTGTAGTTTCATAGTACGATACAAATACTATTTTCGAGATTCAAACCCACATTCCACGGGGGTGAACGATTTCACTAGGTGCACAACAACCACTGGGCCAAATGCTTCAGTGTGTTTATGGGTTCACAGGAAAAATATATATATATATACATTGTACTTCATATTTTAATACAAATATAGGGTCTACGAAAAAGCCAATGGGTTTGGCCGAACTCCCTTCCGCTACGGTAGCTCCACCCCTGATTTCAAATGACTCTTTTTGAAGTTACTTGATTAACCCTTTATACATTTTTTCTTGAAGAAACAATAAAAAAAATTACATTTAATGATGTTCTGATTGTTGAACTCTTTATGTCACCAAAAAGATAATTAGTTCAAGTAAAGGAACAGTTTTGTGCATTAATTTTTCATTATGTGTGGAGTTTCAGATCAGAGATCATTAAGGGTTATTGTGCGCAAATTTATCTTGTATTTTGCAAGAGACTTTTTCCATAACTCGAACAAGCGATCTCTTGATCATATGATAATAATTTTACTATTCACGTCAAAACTCTCATTCATAATTAGTACAAATAATTATCTTAAACAATAATGATGGTGTAAAAAGAAATTACACTATCTCTTTACATTGCACTACAAATAATTCAAATCATAGATTATCCATGTGAATTTGTGTCCATTTTTCAACTCATAAAGTTGTCCAATTAATATTTATACTTTTTTTTTCTTTTTTAGGCCCCTTGTAGAAAGATAATGGGGACTATTCTCATTTGTAGCTTTATCTTTTGAGTTGTTCAATGACCCCAAATTTTGGTAATTAAGTGATAATTATTGCCTTTAATTTGTAATATAAAAATGAAAAATTAATTGTAAAATAAAAGTTGATTCTAATTATACTTGGCAAAGTACTCATAACTATAGTTATTTTTAATAGAAATCACTAATTTGTAAAATTATTGATACATAAACGGTTGACTGTTGAAAAATGATCATCGCAATCTGAGTTCCTAATAACTTAACAAAAGAGGAGTATATTAGAAGGTTTCCATTTGAATAAAACATTATGTCATTTTTTCAAATTTATGATTGCACATTCTGCCTCATTTATTGTACCTTGCATTGGATTGAATCATTTCTTGATGCATGATTTTTTATATGAAAAATATATATATACATAAAAAAAATGATCACTCATAATTGCAAACCCCTTTAAATTGGAATTTTTTTTAATACTACCTTTTGAAACACAAGAATTTCCATGGTCAGAAGTTGTAACCAAAAAGTCCATTGTCATTATAATTATCTTATACACGTGATGATTTAGATTCTTACTGCATAGCACATAAATATTCTAATTTTCAAACCTCGCAAATGAAACCTTTGAATTAAGGTTAGATGACTCTCACCTATATTATCCTACCTCATGATAATAACGCAAAAAGTCATTCTATTTAGTGATACATAGGCAAGAGAATAATTTTTTCTTTAAAAAAATAATTCATTAATTTTTATGTATTAAAAAAAATAAAAAATTTAGTGGCTATCTGTAAAATCAATAAATACATCATCCAAGTGACCATGGAGACATACAAATTGGGAAAGTGTAATGATTAAAGGATATCTAAGCATGGATTTTAGCGCAGAAAGTTATAATTAAAAAAACAAAATAATTAAGTGAAAGTAACTATCATTACAATAAACTTGTGCTAGTACTTATTATTATAGGTCCCTCTCTAACTCTGTCAACACCAACATATATATAGTGACGGAGTCAAAATTTTCAATAAAGGGGTTCAAAATCTAAAAAAAAGACACACGAAGTAGCCGAAAGAGGTTCGACATCTACTGTATATATCTAAAAAAATATTTTAACCATGTATAAATCATATAATTTTCCGCCGAAGGGGGTTCGGATGAACCTCATAATTGTAAGGTGGCTCCGCCACTATATATATATATTGCTTTTTCATAACATGCACATTCTAGTTCTTTCTTTTTAAATCTCAATCGTGAAATAATACTGGCATGAATATGTTATTGTTGTAATATTTGGATCAATTTGTGTGAATCTCAACTATTTCACAAAATACCAACACATTGCATAGTTGGATGTATAATAAAAGTAGCAAGAGATGTTGGATATATTTTGAGTGTGAAACATGAAATCGCAATCACAAACAAAATATGAAGAAAAATTGTTTTCATCTTTTAGAACAATTCGATGAATTTAGTAGATCAGTACGATGGTGGAAAGACAAAAGCAATATCATGTGAAAAATGAAACCACAATTACAAACAAAATATGAAGAAAAAACAATTTTATTGATGAATATTTGCGAGTACAAACTCTATGTATATATTTCATTAATTCTTCTCTCGGAATTTCTCCATGATTCAAGGGTTAAACCAACGTCTTTGAACTTAGGATAACGTAGACCTTCGATCTCCAAGAAAGTCGAGCAACATTTCATTGCTTCAGGTTGATCTCCGAAAAGAACTCCGTTGATCACTCCTCTCTTGTTGTAGAGCTCAGCAGGACTTCACTATGCACATGACCATCTTCCATGTGAATCCATGACTTTAAAGAAAATGGTTGCTGTGTTATCTCTAGAATTCTAGCTCCCCTTGGCCAGTTTCCATATCCTCCATAACCTGAGTGTCTAGCATAACATAACCAGAAATTCTTGTATGGACAACACCAGTCTAATCCATGGTTATGACCTACAAACACAGCCTGTCATCATCCAAAAGAATATTAATTTATCACCAAGACCATCGGCGAGAATTTTTACGGGGTTCATCATCAACAACAACAACATATCCAGTGTGATCCCACAAGTGAGGTCTGGGAGGATAAGATGTATACAAACCTTACCTCTACCTTTGTGGAGTAAAGAGGTTGTTTCTCATAGACCTTCTGCTCAAAAGAAATAATTACATACGGTGTTCGTTGTCTACTATATATACACAAGAAAAAATTGATTATATATACAATGTGACTATCTGGAGTTAGGGATTTGGATGAACCCCTTTGCTCTTCTAGAGCTCCGTCACTGACTAAGACTTCTAAATTTTTCAGACAGAACAACAACAACAACAGCATTATCCTTTCATCTCTGAACAACAATTATTCTAGAGTGAGCGGGAGCCTTGGAGCAACGGTAGTGACCTATAGGTCACGGGTCGTAGCCATGAAATCAGCCACTAATGATTGTGGCAGGTAAAATATTGAAAATGGAAAACTGAGCTCTGCAGTCCTTTACCTTCACAGAAGATCTTCCTTCAAGAAGCTTCATCATCCCCATTTCAGCTTCTTGAGAAGCGACTTTCTCCACAAACATTGAGCCAATACACTTCCTGTGTGCATAAAACCTTGGAGCAACCGTCTTATAAGCTTGGCTTGGTATATGCCAAAAAATTATCTCCGGTACCCTGTTCGATGCCCTTTCATGTTTAATATTACTCCAAATGAGAAACTCAAACACGAAATTTAGAGGTTAAAACTTCAACATTTGATTACCTTGAGTTAGGATTGATCTCTTGAGATGTGCGGTTGAACCATTCCGCTTGGGCATTTGATATTACCTCAGGGTATGAACCACCACCAGAATCTAAGAAATACATGTATGCTATGACTGATTCAGGGTCATCCGTAGGTGAAAGTTTAAGGACATAGTTGGAAACACTTGGCCATAAGTCTTTACGACCGAATTTCGAGTAAGATAATTTATTCATCTCTAGTTCATTCGTCATCAGCTCCAAACGCGTAGTGCCCTTGAAGTTGCAACCTTTGCCTCCTGAAATAGAAACTTTCTTGAATTTAAGCAATTTTCTTCAAAATCACATCTTACCGAAAAGCATTAGAATTTCTTTCAATTAAATCCACTTGGATCGTTACAACAACAACAACAACAACATACTGAGTGTAGTCCTACAAGTGGGGTCTGAGGAGAGTAGTGTGTACACAAACCTTACCTCTATCTTGAGAGGTAAAGAGGTTGTTTCTGATAGACCCTCGGCTCAAGAAAATAACAGGAGTGAAGAAACCAAGACAAAATACTACACAAGGCATATTGGAAAAAAAAGAAACACAATAACTACAACAAACTAATAGAATAAACAAATTACAAAGGACAATCTATAGTAATAGAAATCAAAGGAACAAGAACCTACAAGAGTAATACTACGACTACTAGTATGGAAGGATAATCAAGATTACACTTAGCTACCTACTAACCTTCTACCCTAATGGCCTAATCCGTGTCCTTCATAATCTCCATAATCCACT